GGGGCCGGGGGCCGGCGGGCGCCCTTCGGGCCCTGCGCATCGCCGTGGTGGTCTGCCTCTACTGGTTCACCTCCATCGCCATGGTCTTCCTCAACAAGTACCTGCTGGACAGCCCCTCGCTGCGCCTCGATGCCCCCCTCTTCGTCACCTTCTTCCAGTGTGCCCTGACAGCCGCCCTCTGCTTGGGCCTCAGCCTCGGGGCAGCCTGTGGGCGCCCCTGCCCCGGCCTGCCTGCCCTCCGCCTCGACCCCAAGGTGTCCCGCAGCGTCCTGCCCCTCTCTGCCGTCTTCATTGGCATGGTCACCTCCAACAACCTCTGCCTGAAGCACGTCGGCGTAGCCTTCTACAACGTGGGGCGCTCCCTCACCACTGTCTTCAACGTGCTGCTCTCCTACCTGCTCCTCAAGCAGACCACCTCCGTCTATGCCCTCCTGGCCTGCGGAGTCATCATAGGTGAGGGGGAACGAGAGGGGGCTGCACCCACCCTACGGCTGGCCCCATAACCTCAGAGTGCCAGAGGTGGGGTGTCTTCCCCTTGGGAAACCATCCCCACCTGCACGGCAGCTCCCTGGTGAGGTGGGGTAGCTCAGGGCTTGTGCCTTGCTCTGCCTTGGACAACCCGCTTCGCATGTCTGGAGCATGTAGGTAACGGGTAACTCGTTAAGAAAGGAAATTACTCTTACTTTACCATGGCTCCTTTTTCCTTTGAGCACTAAAACCTGTCTATTCTCTGATGAAGTTTAACTTGCCTTACCTTTTTTGTCCCCACAAAGGCCATAAAACAGCAGGTGGCTTTCTCCCTGTTCTCAAGTGCTTATTGATTATTAACTTTGGTAACAATAACAGTATTTATGTCTGCACCATTGGGACCATACAATGGAGCCAGCCAATTCAGACAGGCTGAATGCATGTGATGAAGGGTTAGCTGATCAAGCCAAGCGTAAAACACCACCAGAAGATCTGGTTGTGTGGTTAGGATGTAGGGCAGGGCATTGACTGGCTTAACAGGAATTGCTTACAAGTCTTTCATGCCAAAGGCCAAAGGCTACCTTCCACTGGAGGGCCATTTAGATGCCAAGAATTGTGAAATGTTGACTTCAGTCCAATTCCAGATGGACATGCGTTCACTTTGGTGCTTAGACAAGCAGATGGACTCAGATGAAAATGAGACAAGAGATTCTCCTCTCCACAGAAGAGGTGAACAGGAACTGAACTACTGTTTTTTCCACCCGAGCGATGCAAGCAATTGCCTTCAGCTAGTCTTGTGTTTGAGTATTGCCCAGGACTATGGCAGCCTTGCAGGGTTTCTCTTAAGATTCTCTCCCCCGGCTCCATCTCCTTTTGCTGTGGGAGCATTGCCCATATGCCTATAGCAGCGTAGCTGAGCATCCTCTGTGGCCTGACACAAAGCCCTTCCTGTCTGTGCATTGAACCCATTTGTATTTGGGTTTAGTTTAAAGCACTAGCTGCTTTGCAGGCAACTTCCCAGACAGCTTCCAGCATGAAGCAGCTAATGGAGAGGCGGTGCAGCGCTCCTTCAATAGCTCATCTCCCCTTCTATGTTTTGCTTATGAGCTGGATGGGGAGAGGTCTCCCTCAATGCCGTGGAGACACAAAGCCTGTAGCTCCTGTTTCGGAGGTGATTAGAGTGCATTACCCATCAAAGAAGGTTAACATGTTGAAGATAACTGCACTCAGTTTCTGCCTTGTGATCTTTTTTTGATCAAGGTTCTTAATATTACATCCATGTGTTTACTACCTTTCCATCTTATTTTCTGACCGATCTTTCCCTTCCTGTTAATAGCGCAGCAAAACCTGTGAGGCCTTTTTTTTTTTTTTTAAAAAACCTTGAGGAATATTTCTTGCTATCTGTGTGTCAGTTCGCTACCTTTTCAATTAAAAAAAAAATCATATGGTCTCCTGAAAATGACCTATACAGAAAGAGCAGCTTTAACTTTAGTTCATGGCTCTTTGGAATAATAGTTTCTAAACTCATGCTGCCTGCTCAGTGTGGGAATCAGTCCTCTGAGATTGAGTGATAGCACCATAAATTACCTGTACTCCCAAAATAAATCTTCCCAGGACACTAGTCATGACAGTTTGTGGGTTCACTTAACAGAAAGGGGAAGCCCTTAAGCCTGTCTCTGCTTGCGGTTGTTCAGTATAAGGTAGATGATGGATTGCTGACTGTATGTTTTGAGTCCTTCAGCAGTTGTTCAGATGACATCTGATTTGTTTGGTTGCAGGTGGCTTCTGGCTGGGTGTTGACCAGGAAGGAGCAGAGGGCACTCTGTCATGGACAGGTATATTCTTTGGGATCATAGCAAGCCTGTGTGTCTCGCTCAATGCCATCTACACCAAGAAGGTGCTGCCTGTGGTGGATGGTAGCATCTGGCGCCTGACCTTCTACAACAACGTCAATGCTTGTGTCCTCTTCTTCCCCCTCATGATGCTGCTGGGCGAGTTCCGCACCCTCTACCACTTTGACAAGCTGGGGAGCCCCAGTTTTTGGGGCATGATGACCCTGGGAGGAGTGTTTGGCTTTGCCATTGGGTATGTGACCGGACTTCAGATTAAGTTCACTAGCCCACTCACCCACAACGTGTCTGGGACAGCCAAGGCCTGTGCCCAAACAGTGCTGGCTGTTATCTACTTTGAGGAGACAAAGAGCTTCTTGTGGTGGGCGAGTAACTTGATGGTTCTGGGGGGCTCCTTTGCCTACACGTGGGTGAAAGGGCTGGAGATGAGAAAGGTACAAGAGGATCCTAATGTCAAAAGCAGCGAAAGAAATGAGACTGGTGTGTAAGCAGCTCCTGCACCTCCATTTCTGTGCCCAAGGGGTTAACCTTCGGTGCTCCTTGCTTCCTGGGGAGAAGAAAAGCAAGGAGCAGGAAAAAATTCACCTGCAAAGTGTATGGGGAACTGTGTCAGGAACTAGAGCCAAAGACCTAACTGAATTGTGTTTTATCCACGGGATCTCACCCTGTATCGGAATTGGGGAGAGCATATGTTGTAGAGAGCAATCAGGTTTTTTGTGATCGTTTTTTAAAATGGATGTTGATACTGACCTAATCCGGGCAATTTGCATCTCTGGGTGGGTGGGGTCATAGCAGGCAAAGACCGGGATGGGAGCTTTGTGTAGTTAGGGATCTAGAATTAACTGAATGAATGCAGTCCGAAGTTATAAAATCCTGAACTTCTGTGTAAGGAAGAGGCAGGTAGCCAGAGTTTTGGGGATATACTCCAGTAAATGGTTCTGCTGTAAAAGGATTGGCAACAGCCATTCTTCCTGTTGCCCCATTCAATGCAAAGGATGGGAAATTCCCTCCCTTCTGGTTCTGTACAAGCCTAAGCAACAGCAGTGCCTCCAGATCTCCTTTCCAAAGAGTCCGTATCACATCCTGCTGATGTCTCTTCTGTGTTTCTCTCCACCTGGTTTCTTAGTTCGGGAAATCATGTTAAGAAGCAGCAGTGAAACTTCTCATTCCCTCTGCCCTGTGTCCTGTGAGGGAGAGCATGCTCCCTCAAGTGGCCTTTCTCAGGGAGGAGCGAGCTTGGCCTCTGCCTCTCTCAGTGACAGGCAGGAGGGGAAAAGTTACTCTGAAGCACTTGCTTCTGTAGGGTGGAGATAGATCCCAGTTCACGGGGTTCTCAGCACTTGTCCTCTTTACCCTCTGTGTAGGGGGTAGGTTTGTGTTTGAAAATGGGGTTCCTACTAATTTGGCTTGTTTCAGGGGACTTATTCCATACCTACTGTGGATCTCCTCTGGTGTTTGCAGTTAGTCTTTTGGCTCATTCCTTTTAAACAACCCCCCATGGCCAGCTCAGTGAATCCTTCACCCCAAAAAATCCTAGTTTTGCTCAGCTGCATCAATCCCTTTACTTGAAACTTGCTGCTGAACAGTTAATTCTGCAGAAATCTCTGCCCCTCCATCTGGTCTCATGCAAGTGCCACCTGAAGTTGCTGTACAGCTATGATTTCTGATCCCGGGGCTCAGCAGCAACATCCTATGGTCAGCTGTGATGTTGCACCAGCTTTCTAAACCCCTGGCCCCTTTATATTTAAAGGGTTATTTGAACCGGGATGCTGGGCAGTTGATGTGGCTGCTTAGTACCCTGCCCCATGGATCATACGTGTTATACCCTTGCCCCCGTGTGTAATGTCTGGCCGCTCCTACAGAAGGACACTCCATTTCTGCCCAGAATATGTTCCTGTCTAATTTCGGGGGGCTCCTGCTCCGGGTTTCATGACGACAGGTACCGGTGCAGGGTG